TCTCCAGATTTTTTTTATAAAACAATAATAAAATATATTATTAATATTGCAAGTAATAATTGCCTAGGAGACAGAAATAAGGTCACGATTAAAGACCATCCAATGTTGACATTTTCGTGGCCCAATTTGTAATGCAGAGTTATCTCAGTCCATGTTCTCTTTTAATAAACAGAAATCATTGATTTTCTATATAAATTTGCCATGGCTTAAATATAACTGTTAATAGGCAAGACCATACATTTTTGAAAAGAAGTTGAAAAGATCACTGACATTTATTCTCCACTATGACTTTAATGGTGCAATATGTAGCTCTGACACCTAGTGTTTAAAACGGGTACTGCAGTCCAAATCCAAAACATTGGAGAGAACTCTTTCTGCGTCCTCCGTAGATGAAGCGATGCATCTAATCCTGTCCTGAAGTTTCTAACAAATCTCCTCCTCTCTTATTGTCGACTCATGTTCTGTTAAACTGTGGCTGGTAAAATGTCAAAGGATCTTCCTGTTTAGATGTAAAGTCAGTATGCAAAAAGAGGAACAACTGACTTGCTGCACCCTGTCCTGTTGTTGAATCACATTCTTGTTGAAGATCGGTTTGCATCACCTTTCTAATGAAACAATGTTTTTTTTTGGTCCAGAGATATCTGGGGTTGGTTTCTCTATCTACAGGCTGAAGATATACGTGGTCTCGATCGGTCTGGTCATCATGATGTGTGCCGTCATCAGTGTTCACGTCGTAGAGAAGCTTAAGAAGAAAAGATAAACAACCACCTCTCCCCAACAATCCTCTGTGGAGAGTTTGACCACTAGTAGCACAATGGAGACTTGTTTTCTTTTTCTTTTTTTGACTGAACATGTGTGACCTTGTTGTGTTTAAGCTGTGTGTATGTGAGTCTGCAGGGGGCACGGTGGTATATACACACTTATTTCACAGACTTCATGCTATTCCACTGATGGACTGTTGGTGGCGGTAAAACACAGAGAAATGTAGTTTGAGGAGGCAGAGGAAGAATATCAGCAAACATGGATGCAAATAATGAAGAGAGTAAAAATACCTGTACAATTCTGCTTTGACTTATAAAGTTTATTAGGATAGAAGTGACTCAGCACTTTTGTAAAGCTTCATAGACATATTATAAATACCTTTTTTATCAATAAAATTATGTAAAAAAGCAAAGGCATTGTTTCTTTACTATACACACAGTTCATCCATCACACAATGCTATCATTTCCCTCCATCCATTATTCGGGGTCGCGGGCGGGGGGGCTGGAGCCGATCCCCGCTGTCATTGGCTGAGAGGCGGGGTAAACCCTGGACTGTTCCCAGTTAATCACAGGGCAAAATGATTTTATTTCTTGAATTAAATTGTTTACATTGGCCTCTTGTAAATAAATTCATTGCTCAGAGTTGATGTTAAAATGTTTTTGAGGATGTTGTCTGTAGAAAAACATAAAATGCAGTATTTGTAACGTCTTTGGTCCTAATTATAATATTATTAATGATAATTATAAAATATTAATCAATGATATTTCACAGTATTTGTCCAAGCATCATATTGGACCCTCAGTAATAAACTCTCACTCTATAATATGATGTGAAGCCTCCTTTCTGGACCTTCAGTAATAACAAAAGCATTGTAAATATATTGTACTCATCGATATATTGGATGGATAATGGCTAATAGGTGAGAGAGTTTGATGTGTTTGGTGTTAATTCACTTGTTTTATTGTTTCTTTTTGCTGACATGAAGTTCAGTGTGAAGCAGTAAACTTATTCACTCATTCTTTAAATGTCTGTTAAAGCTCCTGTGAGGAGTTATTAACTGGTTATGTAACAGACTGAGATTAATACTGATGCCTCTTTATGAGCTACACAAGCTGAGGAGATCATCATGGACAAGTCACTATGGAGGAGGTGTCAGGCCAAACTTACCTTTTTTACATTCTGCATGATAAAGGTTCATGTTGAGTGATACATTTGCTTTAAAATAAAAGCTGGATGAGATTTATTTTATTTTATTTTATCCACAAGGTGCTTTAAAGTTGACACAAACCAGAAGATCCTCACTGTAGCTTTAAATTAAAAAGGCTTTATTCACATTAAGGTTTAAAGAAACATTTGATAAGAAGCATCAAGATGATCAAATATTAGCAAAAACACAAATTAGCAATAAAACTATGTAAAAAAAAATAGATTGTAACATTTGAAATATATACAGTAAATTAATTTAAAAAATAAAATATCTACATCAAAACAGTTCTATTGTATGTGTCACCTGATTGTTAACAGCAAAGGTGTCTCCATATAGCATGTGACATAAATGATCTCTATAAACATATAATTTATGATGTTGCAGGTGAGAGGCTCAAATGTCTGCAACAAAACAGTTCTTGTTTCGGTCTGAAGTCCAAATGGTATTATTCATCAGCAGATTGAAATGTAAAATGTAAAATGTATTGAATCATCTCGTTTACGATTCAGGTCCAACATAAAAAAACAAACAATACAAGAGACATTCAACAACACATACAAACACACTCATACATCAACCCACCAGGGCATTAATCCTGTATTGCCACTCCGCCCACACAATGTAAACAGCCACGAGATTTCACATCACATATTAACTAATAACATTGTAAGTATTGACACTAATGATGGTAATTACAAAGATTACTGTACAATCAGAAGCAGAAAAGGTATGAAAAGAGTTAATTGTTCACAGGTTATCTGGCAAATGATTCCAGTCAGAAGGTGATTGTTGTTATAATTCATAATAAAATCAGCAATCTGACTGTAGTTGGTCTTTTAACTTCATTGCATGACTCAAGTAGCTAGTCCACGACCGACGCACAGAAAAAGAAGACGCAGTCAGAAGTCCTTCACTGATACTAAACTAAACTAAACTAAAGTGGTCATTCCACACAGAGAAGTGTGTTGAAGACATCATAGTGAACTGTTTCAGGACTTTGGAAGTTTTTCTACCTTGCATACAGGCTCTCTGGCTGAGCGTTGTCTCTGGGCTGAGTGGGTGCTTCAGAGACGATGGGAGGCCAACAAGGAGTAGATGGAGGGTGGAGGACCAGCTGGGGCATCATTTGTTGGTCTCTGCTGCAGAGGGAGGTCTGTATTCACTTTAACACACAACATAAGAATGGTTATTTTGCTATTTGATATGCGATTTTCAAATTGGGCTATTATAATGTATTAGCACTGAAATGAAAAACAGCCAATGAACTCCTTAACAGACATATAATCCTTCATATTAAGTGAGAAGATAAAAACTGTTGTTTCAGTCCAGACTTCTTGAAAAGCATGTTAGTACAATTTATCACAGAAAGCTACTGCTACATTATTTGTCCGATTTGTGACTGAGAAAACATCCCACAAAGACTCAGTTACAGTCAGGTCATTAAAGGGATACTTCACCCATTTGCATTAATCTTTGTATCATTAGAAACCTGGTAGTGTTTTTGAATGGCCGTGCATCCCGCCCTCATTTTCCCCTGAGATGGGAAATCTTTGTATTTCTGAGTCTGAAAAGAAGTTTCCAGTGACGCAACATGACGATTTTTGTGTCACTGGAAGCTGCTAGCGGTGTGAAACTACAACGCTAGTTCCTCATATTTTCGACCACTGAAGCTACAGACCAATCACAGATCAGTGGGTGGGAACTCACTCCCAGAATCGAAACTTAACGTCCGCCATATTGCTTGGAAGCTATGCTAACAGGCTCTATGGAGAAAGCTGATAATGGCGAGAAAATACAAATATAGCGGCGAGACGGCTGCTGCAGACAGACCGGTCTTGTGTTTTGGCTGCTGCGGCCGCCACTGGCCGCAGGGTCTACCGAGACATAATGCCTGCATGTCGGCGGCGGTGAGGACGAGGACCCCGGGCCAGCTCGAGCTGGGGTGGACTGGTAGTGTCGGTGCTCTCACTGTTTGTCTATGGACACAGACATAGAGTCTGTTTTCTGCCAGGAATTTCCAAGATCAATTCTGGAAGAAATCTCTGAATCAGTTGAGGAAATGGTCTTATGTGTTGAAGTAAATATGTCTGTAAATGTTTTTATTACTTTATTTCTACTGCTATACTGTATATTTTGGAGAAACTGTATCGATCGAATTTCCCTCTGGGATTAATAAATATTTCTGATTCTGAACTAGAGGACCTTAGTGGGAGTGGCCTGTGGTGCTGTGCATTCTGGGATTTGGTGTCTTTCATCCACATGAGCCAAAAAGTCACTTTCTGCCTTTCTGCCAAGAAGGCACCAACTTCAAAATGTATTTCACATTTCTACAACATATATGACCCAATGTCAATACAGATTCATGTTTCAACGGGTGAAGTATCCCTTTAAGTTCTGTGACTGAATTTGCTGGTTTGATGTCGATCAGAAAGCTATTCGGTTCAACTGCAACACAGAACCACAACACCCATAACTTCAAAGGTTTAATACATTTACAACTGTTGGGAAGAAGTCGTCATGGATCTAGAAATGAGCTATGGTTTTTTATATCAGTTCTCAATCATTAATTTGTTTAAGAATTTCTTCACTTCTGACTAATTTGGGAAATTGGTATTAAAAAATATTCCTCCTTACCTGAGGATCTTCATAGACTGTATTTTCCATGTTCTCTGCTTTATCTGCAGATCAGTCATAAAGAAACATGTTGAAACTACATTAACATTACTGGAGCTGATTCTGTTCTGGATTTATTTGGTGTGATTTTGAGAGTCACTTTTCTACATTGAAAAATGTATTCTGTTAATTTATTAATAGTAATGAATGCAATCAAAATGCATAAACATTTTATAATGGGGCCTCAGTTTAATAGTTTGTAAATGATAAACAGTTTTGAATTGCCATCCTCAAATATTGTAAATTCATGTGAATTTAAAAGTTCTTTACATATGATTTATTTTGTTAACATTGTAAATTGTTTATTTATTCTAACTCTAAGGTGTGGCTTCTAAGTGTAACTGCTGCGCTGTCTTTATCAGATCGCCCTGATAAGAGGATTCACTCATAAGGGACGTCTTTTGAATGATAATAAAAACATCAACACAGGGGAGAAGAATGTACTCATCTAAAGGGTCAATTCAGTTTGATGTAAACAATAAGGATTTTCTGATTTCACATTTAAATTCAGTTTAAATGCAAACTTAACTTACTTTGTTTTCTCCTTCGATGATGAATTCAAATTATAGCCAAAACAACACCAAGAGATAAGACGATGGCTACAACAATCGGTGTAACATTATTTTGGCTGCCTTTCGATGCTGTAAAGAAAAAAGAAAGCCAGATTAGAAATTCATACTTGGCTGAACTCTTGCAGCATACCTGAGAGTGAACTATAACCACTCAATCTCACAGACCTGATCTGTAGTAAAATATGAAATTGGTCTAATCAACCCTGAATGGATGGTGCCCTAAAGTCACAATTTAAAACTACATGGAAGGATAGTCACCTCCTGGTTTTAAGGATCACCTTAGACATTTCTGACATTGTATTTCTTTAAATAGATTGTTATCTCCTTTGGTGACCTGTTGTTACTGGCATGTAAATGTAACTCTTTACTTTGTCTTGACTTCTTTTAATAAGACTCTAAAGGCTGTGTGACTGAATTGACCATCAGGGATTAATAACACATCTGAATCTCATAAAATCAATTTCATTGACAGTTTTTATCTTTTAAACCATTAATTCTAGCCCATTTATATGTCAAATAATCTCTGCTTCGTTTAATTTTTGTCGGAAAATTAAAACTATTTTGTCTCAAATGATATGGTTCAACTCCAATATATGAATTAGTCAGTTACCTATCTCCTGGGAGATGTTTGTTGAAAATGGCATTATTTATAAATTATATAATTCATTTAAATGGAAAAATCTATTCATGTAAAATGTATTGTTAATTATTTGGAATAATTTGAAATAAATACCATCAGTTAGTATTTGCGATTCCTTTGGCTTGGAGGAAAACAATTAAAAGTACTGAAAGAAAGATATTGGTCTGTAGACCTGTAAAAAATATATTTGTGGCTTAAAGGGAAAAATGAGAAATAATTTAATGCATACGTTTTTCTTGAAGGGAAAATGATTTACATTATATATCCAACAAATTTCAAACCTATTTGAGGGGATATTTGATACCCCTTTGCCATGGAGACAGGTGAATACTTTAACTTCTAGATACTAAATCACAATACTTAAAATTCTATACAACATCTTGCCTACAAGAAAAATGCTCTCAGAATGGAGTTTAGGATCCAAACTGTCGCTTCTGTAAATCTGAATCTGAAGACCTGCTGCATCTTTTTTGGTTTTGATCACATGTGGGGATTTTCTGTATGAGTGACACTGAAAAATGTCTAGCTCTTTATTCAGTATCGCTAACAATGAGCCCTCAAACAATAATTATTTGTGAATTAAAAATTGGATGTTCAAGTATTTTAATACAGTTATTTTGTTGGGTAAGAGATTTATTTTTGAATTGAAAGGGAAAGAACGTTTGACGTTCACTAATGCTCTCTTTTTTTAACATTATTTTAGGTAAGAGGGCGTTATCACAGAGAGGGAACAATGAATGACACAAATGAGATGGATCGCACTGAGGCCATGTTTAGAAGAATGATGAACATGATGACTGGTTTTGTTTTGTTCGTGTGGTTTTTGTTGATGGTCTGTCATGTGTAAGTATAATGTTTGTATATTGTGTGTATTCTTTTAATGTTTTACGTAAAAAATAAAAAATAGTTTTATTGTTTTTAAACCCAATTGATTGACAAGCTAGCACTGATTAGTCTTTAATCATGGCAATGTTTCTGCTACAGTTATTTCATCAAAATGTATGAAAAAATGATCTCCTACCAACAGCTGAAACACAATGGAGAATATTTCTATCGTTGTTTCATCAAAAGAGAAATAAGTATCTGTATGTTTTTATTCAGGATACAATCCACACTGTTCATTAGCATCAAATTGTAGTTATTAACTCTTACCGTCGGGCTTCACACAAAGATCTTCAATCTTTTGGATGTCCCTTGTAGAGCTGACCTGGTTGCTATGGTTACAGATGACTGAACCGTTCTCCAGGTAGACGTCCAGAGAAGCACCAGGTGTGATGATCTCTGCTCGCTCTCCTCCCTCGTGAGAGCAGGTTTGGTTGTCACATGTGAACGTGCTGCTGATGAGAGAGTCCTCAGTGCTGCAGATCACTGTGACGTTAGTGGAGTCTGAGCTGCAGAGTTTCACTGTCAGCTTCACTCCAGACACTGGATCTGCAGGAAGCAAAGCAAGTGTGATGACTTTTTTTAAAACAGGGAACGACTTGTATCAACATTTTCAAATTAAAGAAACATACCCAGAACTGTGACGCTGTATTCAGCTACAATGATTTCTCTGTCAGCAGTAACACGTGCTCTGTAAACTCCACTGTCCTCCTTTTGTACGTTCTTTAACAGTAGAGAGTGATTTTGTGCAGAAAATTCTGCTCTAGATATATAATTTGGGGAAATGGTTGGTTTACCACCATGAACTAGTCTCACAACATTAACACTGCCAACAGTCCATTTAAATAAATCTGCCTCCTTCAGAACAACAGGTTCCTTCACATCCAGAAGTAAATCTGTTCCTGTCTGCACAAACACAGGAGTCACTGCAGAGAGAAGAGAAATAAAAATCATGTGTATGATTAAAAAAACACTTTAATCAATATTTCCATGTTAATAATGTATCACTTGTTTACTTGTATCTTAAAGTAATTGACAAACACAGAAAATGATCACCTGACTGAAGGTTGAAGAGGACATGTTATCCCCCTTTTCCCTCTTTTCAAACAGTCCCCCTGTGGTCTAAATGAAACATCTGTGCAGTGCTTTGATCAAAATTTAACATGAATCAACACCAGAGGAGGTTTGTGACCCTGTATAAACCAGCTCTCTCAGAACGCTCCGTTTTGGTGTGTGTGTCTCTTTAAATGCAATGAGCCCCGCCTGAGTTTTCACGGTAGACATCACTCCTCTGTAACGAGGACAAAAGTGGCAGAGGGAGGGGATTTTTTCTCTGTGTTGTAAGACTTATGCAGACCACAAACAAAGGACTGGATGGGTTTATTTTACATTTTGTGGGTCAGTAGACACTCAGGTTACCCAAATATATGTTCACAAACACTGTACAAGTTTCATAATATAATATATCCCCTTTAATAGGAGACCAACGTTGATCATCGCAAACTGTCGAGCTGTTTCTTTAAATCAAAGCTAAATGCTGTCAGTATGCTAAAAGAGGAACAACTGACTTGCTGCACCCTGTCCTGTTGTTGAATCACATTCTTGTTGAAGATCGGTTTGCGTCATCTTTCTAATGAAACAATGTTTTTTTTTTGGGTCCAGAGATATCTGGGGTTGGTTTCTCTATCTACAGGCTGAAGATATACGTGATATCGACCGGTCTGGTCATCATGATGTGTGCCGTCATCAGTGTGCAGACCAGAAAAAGGACTGGATGGATTTATGTCGCATTTTGTGGGTCTGTAGACACTCAAGCTAACCAAATATATGTTAAAAAACACTGTACAAGTGGATTTTTCATAACATGTCCCCTTTAAAAAACACAAACCTAAAACAGGAATGAATGTTTTAAAATACATACTTTGTTAATCCCAAAGGGGAAATTCTGGTTTGCATGCTTAAGTAATATAACATATAATATATATTCATTTTGTAAAAAATAATTCTGCTCATGTTGTAAAATATTCTTAAAAATCAGTGAGTTTTTGATTAAACATTTTTTTCTCAACATATCTGGGTAAACGTAACTGATGTAGAAACAGAAATGAAGATTGTCACTTTCTTTATTTATATGGCTCACAACAAACAAGACGACTAGAAGTGCAGCTATAGGGGGCACTGCACAATCCCAGTTAGAACAAACATATTTAGTCAGGGTGTCTTTTCCTTCAGAGCGTCACATCAGTTGTTTTTAATACCGCAATATTTAGTTCAGATTTCAACACCATACTCCCCATCAGCCTCCATTCCAAGCTGGTTGACATACTTCAGGGCTAAACACCTCCATGTGTGCTTGGATCCTGGACTTCCTGTCAAACAGATCCCAGGTGGTCAGAGTGGGCAGACACACCTCCAGCCCCTGCACCCTCAACACTGGAGCACCACAAGGCTGTGTCCTAAGCCCCCTAGTCTTCACCCTATACACACACAACTGTGTGGCCACGAGAAGCTCCAACACCATTGTGAAATTTGCAGATGACACGGCGGTGGTTGGCCCCATCTGCACCAGCATCAACATTCACACGCTTCACCATTACACACTTTACAAACTGACACTCCTTCAAGAAATCTCTAAAAACTCACCTCTTCAACATCGCCTACAACCACTAACAATAACTAAGAACTCTCAAACCTCCTTCTTTTACAGTATTTCTTAGTTGTATTGTTTTTCTTCTGTTTTTATTGTCGACCTTGTTAAGCTTCTTTGAGTATTTAGAAAAGCGCTATATAAGTCTAATTTATTATTATTATAACTTAACACTGTACACTTTAATACCCAAATGGTATTGTCTATATCTGTATTTTTCTGATCTAATGAGTGTATGTGAATGGATTATATTTAATTATATGATGCTAAAGAACATCTGGGAAAAAGACTGCAGATGAAAATTAGTCTTTCAGCTAACTCTGGTACATTTACATCAGTCTGAATGTTGATTCATGTACACTGTCCCTCTTCACATGAAGAGACAAAAAAAAAACTTGAGCACAGCAGCACCACATTATAACAGCGTTTGATCTCCCCAGCCTGAGAACGAGGACAGAGGGAACAGGCCAAAAGAAGTGAACGAGGAAGTCAAAAAGGAACAGCGAAAAAGCTTGATGTGAGTTTTCTGTCTGGTTTCTGCCTGTTGTTTCACATGCAAATATGTTTTAACGAAAAAACACACACACACACACACGCACACACAGACTAAGTGACACACTTCAAAGCTCTCTTTTGTCCTCAAGCTTCTTCTTTTTTAACAGCTTAATTCTTAATTATTTTCAGTGACTGTAAAGTTCACACAAATACAATATTTTATTATATTTCTCACTCAGAAATATAAAATCCCATAGCGGGGAACTCCATGACAGTAAGAAAGTCATTTCAAAGGAGTGGAGGATGGACCGTTAAATGTCAAACCGTTTGGGCGGTTTGCAATGTGAAGATGGAGGACTGATGCAAAAAAAGAGAAGGTAATAATATGAAAATGACCTCGATGGTTTCTGGACCCTGACCCTCAGCTATAACACACTTAGTCACTTTTTATACTTTCCATTTCAAGTTTTATGTATCAGGATAAAAGAACAGTTTATCTTCACTATAACTACTATACAGCTACTCAAACTGTAGAAACACTAATGGAAGTCTTAACATCTCCAGTTCACTCAGTGATCACAAACTCTAAAGTCTTTCACTTTGATTATTTACATTCAATCCACTGACCAGCCGCTGACAATAACAATCATTATGTCTCAGTTTAAAGTATGAAGGCCTTGTATAAACTCTCAGTGTTGCATAAATAAAAAAACAGATTACATTGTTAGATCTAACTATCATTAAAGCCGTGCAGAAGTACAGATATTTACATCAGACACTTCAACAACAGGAAACATACACTAAATTAAGTTCTTACCTTGTGTAGCACATAAATGCAGCAGAGAAAAAGAGAAGAGAAGTACGAGGGGCCCCATTCTAAGAAATGAGCGACTAGCGGAAGTGATCTCGCTGTTTAGAGCTTATCACCTGCCTACTTCCTCATCTTTTTGTGTGAAACAGAGGATGATGTGTCGTTATTTGCATTGCCTGCATCAGATTTTGTAACAGCAGTTTGTGACTTTATGGGAATAGTTCATCTTTAATCTGATGGTCTGGACTGCTGCAGACCATTTAGAGGCATCAGTATTAAATTATTCAGTTTCATTTCCAAGAAAAGGGAGGGTAGTTAAACACAGGGACGTTACTGGGATGACCCAACTGGTTCACTGAGAAGTGTGGCCTGAAACAAATATCCATTTTTGATCCTTTCTAACTTCACCAATCCTATCTACTTTATAATACAAGATTATGGATACATTATTATATACAATATACAATTTAAAGTACTTAAACTTCCCAACACATTGCTAGTTAGTTCATTGCAAGTAAGACAGAGTGCATTTCTTTCCTATGCACCTGTCTTATTGAATAGATGGGCAACCTTTTAATTTACAAGTTAAAGTACAAACAAAAGAAAAATTCTACTTTGATATGAAAACTACGAGCAGCATTCTGCAAAAAAGACCTCATTGTTGGTTTGAACATAAGTCTCCCCTCTGACAGGGCAAATAGACAAACACAGTTTAAGATTCTGGGGGCACTTGGGGTGGCCACTCAGATTTCTAGGGGGCCCATCTCTCTGCTCCCCCTACAGGTATCTACATACCTTTAAGCAGTACAATACATTGCTGTTAGATTATATACTGCATACAGTCAGAGATCCTGGGCCTCAGTATTTGGCTTTAAAATCTAAAACTTCTAATGAATGACACAGAACAAAATATGTTTTTTGTAACTCATAATCAGCTTTATTAAATCACTTATGTCAGAAATAATTTTCCCATTTCATCAATTCATCCACATTTTAAACACTTTATACATCCATCATTCCTCTCTTTTCCTCACCTGTCATGACTAATCATCATTGTTGCTCATTTAAAGTAGAATCATTATCAGTAACTTACAAACATCTCTTTCACATTTTCATCCCTCATCACTCCAACCCGGTATCATGCCAAAGCGTGTAATAGACACGTTGGTCCACTAGAGGATGCGTGTCAGTGTCACGCACTGCCTGTCTTCAGCGTCAAATGTACACGCCTGTGATCGATACCAGCAGGGGGCGATAATTTACTCAATGCCAACAACCATCGCGGACAAAAGAGAAGAGTTTCAGTGTATTCCTCCTTCCTGTCAGGTAAAAGTTATTACGTGGGTTTAAAGAGCCCATATTCTGACCTTTTTGGGGTTCGTATATTTAATCTATGTATCTACTTTTGTACGTTCACAATAGATAAACTTTGAAAAAAGTGTCTGTTTTCATGTACTGCTCCTCCTTGCTCCCTCTACGCTCCGAGTCCGTCAGCTGCACTCTGTTGAGCCCACACTGTTAGACCCCACGTGGGCCAAGTCTGCTCTGATTGGTCTGCCGATCCACTCTGTCGTTATTGGTCAGTTGCTCAGCTCGCTTCTCGGGAATTTCAGCATGAGCTGCAGGGCTTGCCACAACGAGCCAATGGGCTTAGATCAGTGCTCTCACACTGACAATGACGTCTGACTGACACATTTTTATCGAGGGGGGCTAGAACCGAGCGTTACATGCAGCTAATGCTACAGCTAACAGGAGGACGTAGGAGAAGCCGCGTTTCCGCGGACTTTGAATTTTGCACTTAGATGTGCCTAAACATGCACAAAACACACTGAAGGGCATGTAAAACCAGATAAAGCATAATATGGGACCTTTAATATTTATTATTAAAGGGGCTATATGTAACTTTTTAAATGTATAAATTGTTTTTTATCGTCCATTAATAAGCGAACAGTTAACTGATGTGAAAAAGAAGAAGTTCACTGTCTAACTGACACAAAGACTCACGGTATGGAGCAAACGCAGACTCAGAGGGAGAGTTATCAATCAGTCCTTTAATCCAGGCAGAGTTCGGTACACGAGAAGGTAATGATAAACAAATCCAGAGGGCTAGGCAAGGCAGGGTCAAAACAGCAGCAAGGGTCATACACGAAGATCAAAGTCAATAATAATGCTGGACCGAGGGAACACAGAGAACACAACGAACTGGCAACAGGAGGGAGAACACACAGGGATTAAATACACAGACAATCAGGGACCAACGAGACACAGGTGAAGGTAATCAGGGCGGAGCTGACACACAAGGTGGGGACAAGAGGGGCAGGATCTGAAAGACAGAGACAAGGGTGAAAACCAAAACACAACAAAACCTAGGAAAATAATATAAAATTTGCAAAACACAAAACAAAACCTGATGCACACTGAAAGCCTTGTCACTATCTGTGTTGCCTGTATAACGTTTTTCTCCGGGTCGTATTTTCCGTGAAAGCTCCAGGAAGTGACATTTTAAGCACGTTCTCAACGTCTTCCTCACTCCGCTTACAGAGATCAACAGTACAAACTCATCACACACTCCTGCTCTCAGCCAGTGCCTGCAGAGACTGTCGTTTGTAGGATGGAGAATGAATACAGACACACAGACTCCTTCACAGACTTTCACGTGTGTATGACCACTTACCTCCTCTGTAAACATTATGCCGGTAAATATCCAGTGTATCACGGCCGATGATGATGTTCGTTTGTGTACGTACGTATTGTAGAGTTTTGTGTAAAGCCTGAAGGTAAAAGTAAAAACTAATCACCAATCTGACATTAATGCACAGTGAGGATTTTTGCCTGAATAATAACAAACAGATACTTTTCTCCAATTTCTTTTTATTGTGTTTCAGCTATTGGCAGGTGATAAGATTTAACATTTCTTAAAAAGTAATTGCCTAGGTGACAGAAACAAAGTCATTATTTAAGACCTACAAATGTCGACATGACATTTTCAAGGCCGGGTTTGTAATGCAGTTATCTCGATCAAAGTCTTCTTCTTTTTAATAGGCTAAACAAAAATGATTAAATATTCCAGAAAAAATGACCGATTTGCTACTGATTGGCTGAGGCTTAGCTATGACTATTATTAGTCAAGGCAAGACATCTTTTTAAAGTTGAAAAGATCACTTGATGTTTATTCTCCACTATGAATTTAAAGGGGCAATATGTAACTTGGGCACCTAGTGTTTGAAATTGGTACTGCAGTTCAATTCAAAACATTAACGAGAGCTGTCTGCCCCCTCCTCTCTAGAGTCGATGCTCGATGCCATGTCTGGAAAACTGAAGCTTCAGTGTTTAGCCAGGTCTGCATCAGTCTGGAAACCTTTCTGCCTCTCCATTTTTCAAAAGCATCTCCAATATTTATCCTAGTTATACCTCGTTTCTGCTCACTTTAAAGTTTAAAGTTGTTATAGAACTTCCTCTTTGCCTTACTAATAATAAATGATGACTCATTAAATACTAAACTCAGGCTGGCACTTGAATGTGATTATTTGATTTGGCACTAAAATGGCCATTAAAACGAGACCAACATCCCTCTTTACAAACAGTAAAGTTGAGCCTTTCATATGGTTATGTAAAATATACAACACTTTAATGTAAAGCTAAATGCTGTCAGTATGCAAAAAGAGGAACAACTGACCTGCTGCACCCTGTCCTGTTGTTGAATCACATTCTTGTTGAAGATCGGTTTGCATCACCTTTCTAATGAAACAATGTTTTTTTTTGGTCCAGAGATATCTGGGGTTGGTTTCTCTATCTACAGGCTGAAGATATACGTGGTCTCGACCGGTCTGGTCATCATGATGTGTGCCGTCATCAGTGTTCACGTCGTAGAGAAGCTTAAGAAGAAAAAAATAAACAACCACCTCTCCCCCAACAATCCTCTGTGGAGAGTTTGACCACTAGTAGCACAATGGAGCTACTTGTTTTCTTTTCTTTTTTTCACTGAACATGTGTGACCTTGTTGTGTTTAAGCTGTGTGTATGTGAGTCTGCAGGGGGCACGGTGGTATATACACACTTATTTCACAGACTTCATGCTATTCCACTGATGGACTGTTGGTGGCAGTAAAACACAGAGAAATGTAGTTTGAGGAGGCAGAGGAAGAATATCAGCAAACATGGATGCAAATAATGAAGAGAGTAAAAATACCTGTACAATTCTGCTTTGACTTCTAAAGTTTATTAGGATAGAAGTGACTCAGCACTTTTGTAAAGCTTCATAGACATATTATAAATACCTTTTTTATCAATAAAATTAATGTAAAAAAAGCAATCACATTATTTCTTTACTATGCACACAGTTCATCCATCACACAATGCTATCATTTCCCTCCATCCATTATTCAGGGTCGTGGGCGGGGGGGCTGGAGCCGATCCCCGCTGTCATTGGCTGAGAGGCGGGGTAAACCCTGGACTGTTCCCAGTTAATCACAGGGCAAAATGATTTTATTTCTTGAATTAAATTGTTTACATTGGCCTCTTGTAAATGAATTAATTGCTCAGAGTTGATGTTAAAAGGTTTTTGAGGATGTTGTCTGTAGAAAAACATAAAATGCAGTATTTGTAATGTCATTTGTCCTATTTATAATATTATTAATGATAATTATAAAATATGAATCAATGATATTTCACAGTATTTGTCCAAGCATCATATTGGACCCTCAGTAATAAACTCTCACTCTATAATATGATGTGAAGCCTCCTTTCTGGACCTTCAGTAATAACAAAAGCATTGTAAATATATTGTACTCATCGATATATTTGATGGATAATGGCTAATAGGTGAGAGAGTTTGATGTGTTTGGTGTTAATTCACTTGTTTTATTGTTTCTTTTTGCTGACATGAAGTTCAGTGTGAAGCAGTAAACTTATTCACTCATTCTTTAAATGTCTGTTAAAGCTCCTGTGAGGAGTTATTAACTGGTTATGTAACAGACTGAGATTAATACTGATGCCTGTTTATGAGCTACACAAGCTGAGGAGATCATCATGGACAAGTCACTATGGAGGAGGTGTCAGGCCAAACTTACCTTTTTTACATTCTGCATGATAAAGGTTCATGTTGAGTGATACATTTGCTTTAAAATAAAAAGGATGAGATTTATTTTATTTTCTTTTATCTACAAGGTGCTTTAAAATTGACACAAACCAGAAGATCCTCACTGTAGCTTTAAATTAAAAAGGCTTTATTCACATTAAGGTTTAAAGAAACATTTGATAAGAAGCATCAAGATGATCAAATATTAGCAAAAACACAAATTAGCAATAAAACTATGTAAAAAAAAACATGTAACATTTGAAATATATACAGTAAATTAATTAAAAAAAATAAAATTATCTGCATCAAAGCAGTTCTATTGTATGTGTCACCTGATTGTTAACAGCAAAGGTGTCTCCATATAGCATGTGACATAAATGATCTCTATAAACATATAATTCATGCAGCTTCATTGGCTCTTGGTTAAACATCGCATCACCTTCAAAATTCTGCTCCTCACCTTCAAGGCCATCCACAACCTCGCTCCACTTTACTTCTCTGAACTCCTGCACATCAACACACCTACTCGCACTCTCAGGTCTTCTTCTTCCATTCAACTCACTGCACCACCCGCCCGCCTGTTCACCATGGGGGTCCAGGGCCGTCAGCCGCTCTGCCCCTCACCTCTGGAACTCCCTCCCACCACAAATCTGTCATATCGACTCTCTCTCTATTTTCAAATCTCATCTCAAAACACATCTTTTTAAACTGGCATATTCAGTCTGATCATTCTCCACCCGGTCTCATAACTCCTCCACATCCTGTACATTTGTGATTTTTGTGTTTTTAAGGTTAATTTTATCGATGTGTTGTTACTTTGTTGTTTTAGAGAGATTTGAAAGGCGCCTTTAAATAAAATGTATTGTTATTATTATCATTATTATTATTATCATCATGATGTTGCAGGTGAGAGGCTCAAATGTCTGCAACAAAATAGTTCTTGTTTCTGTTTGAAGTCCAAATGGTATTATTCATCAGCAGATTTAAATGTACATTCATTGATGAATACCCTCTTGAGATGAATCATCTCGTTTTCAAGGGAGGTCCAACCCACCAGGGCATTCATTCTGTATCGCTACTCCACCCACACAACGTAAACAGGCACGAGATTTCACATCACATATTAACTAATAACATTGTAAGTATTGACACTAATGATGGTAATTACAAAGATTACAGTACAATCAGAAGCCTCCTTATTAAGGGAGCAGGAAGACATTAGGGTTGGAAGCAGTGGAAGGGCGATTTAATTTTTTTTTTTTAAAAGGTATGAAAAGAGTTAATTGTTCACAGGTTATCTGGCAAATGATTCCAGTCAGAAGGTGCTTGTTGTTATAATTCATAATAAAATCAGCAATCTGACTATAGTTGGGTCTTTCAACTTCATTGCATGACTCAAGTAGCTAGTCGACGACCGACGTACAGAAAAAGAAGACGCAGTCAGAAGTCCTTCACTGCTACAAAACTAAACTAAACTAAACTAAAGAGGTCATTCCTGCAAGAGAAGTGTGTTGAAGACATCATATTGAACTGTTTCAGGACTTTGGAAGTTTTTCCACCTCTGCATACAGGATCTCTGGCTGAGCGTTGTCTATGGGCTGAGTGGGTGCTTCAGAGACGATGGAGTAGATGTAGGGTAGAGGACCAGCGGGGGCATCATTTGTTGGTCTCTGCTGCAGAGGGAGGTCTGTATTCACTTTAACACACAACATAAGAATGGTTATTTTGCTATTTGATATGCGATTTTCAAATTGGGCTATTATAATGTATTAGCACTGAAATGAAAAACAGCCAATGAACTCCTTAACAGACATATAATCCTTCATATTAAGTGAGAAGATAAAAACTGTTGTTTCAGTCCAGACTTCTTGAAAAGCATGTTAGTACAATTTATCACAGAAAGCTACTGCTACATTATTTGTCCGATTTGTGACTGAGAAAACATCCCACAAAGACTCAGTTACAGTCAGGTCATTAAAGGGATACTTCACCCATTTGCATTAATCTTTGTATCATTAGAAACCTGGTAGTGTTTTTGAATGGCCGTGCATCCCGCCCTCATTTTCCCCTGAGATGGGAAATCTTTGTATTTCTGAGTCTGAAAAGAAGTTTCCAGTGACGCAAAATGACGATTTTTGTGTCACTGGAAGCTGCTAGCAGTGTGAAACTACAACGCTAGTTCCTCATATTTTCGACCACTGAAGGTACAGACCAATCACAGATCAGTGGGTGAGAACTCACTCCCAGAATCGAAACTTAACGTCCGCCATATTGCTTGGAAGCTATGCTAACAGGCTCTATGGAGAAAGCTGATAATGGCGAGAAAATACAAATATAGCGGCGAGACGGCTGCTGCAGACAGGCCGGTCTTGTGTTTTGGCTGCTGCGCCGCCACTGGCCGCAGGGTCTACCGAGACATAATGCCTGCTGTCGGCGGCGGTGAGGACGAGGACCCCGGGCCAGCTCGAGCTGGGGTGGACTGGTAGTGTCGGTGCTCTCACTGTTTGTCTATGGACACAGACATAGAGTCTGTTTTCTGCCAGGAATTTCCAAGATCAATTCTGGAAGAAATCTCTGAATCAGTTGAGGAAATGGTCTTATGTGTTGAAGTAAATATGTCTGTAAATGTTTTTATTACTTTATTTCTACTGCTATACTGTATATTTTGGAGAAACTGTATCGATCGAATTTCCCTCTGGGATTAATAAATCATTTCTGATTCTGAACTAGAGGACCTTAGTGGGAGTGGCCTGTGGTGCTGTGCATTCTGGGATTTGGTGTCTTTCATCCACATGAGCCAAAAAGTCACTTTCTGCCTTTCTGCCAAGAAGGCACCAACTTCAAAATGTATTTCACATTTCTACAACATATATGACCCAATGTCAATACAGATTCATGTTTCAACGGGTGAAGTATCCCTTTAAGTTCTGTGACTGAATTTGCTGGTTTGATGTCAATCAGAAAGCTATTCGGTTCAACCTGCAACACAGAACCACAACACCCCATAACTTCAAAGGTTTAATACATTTACAACTGTTGGGAAGAAGTCGTCATGGATCTAGAAATGAGCTATGGTTTTTTATATCAGTTCTCAATCATTAATTTGTTTAAGAATTTCTTCACTTCTGACTAATTTAGGAAATTGGTATTAAAAAATATTCCTCCTTACCTGAGGATCTTCATAGACTGTATTTTCCATGTTCTCTGCTTTCTCTGCAGATCAGTCATAAAGAAACATGTTGAAACTACATTAACATTACTGGAGCTGATTCTGTTCTGGATTTATTTGGTGTGATTTTGAGAGTCACTTTTCTACATTGAAAAATGTATTCTGTTAATTTATTAATAGTAATGAATGCAATCAAAATGCATAAACATTTTATAATGGGGCCTCAGTTTAATAGTTTGTAAATGATAAACAGTTTTGAATTGCCATCCTCAAATATTATAAATTCATGTGAATTTAAAAGTTCTTTACATATGATTTATTTTGTTAACATTGTAAATTGTTTATTTATTCTAACTCTAAGGTGTGGCTTCTAAGTGTAACTGCTGCGCTGTCTTTATCAGATCGCCCTGATAAGAGGATTCACTCATAAGGGACGTCTTTTGAATGATAATAAAAACATCAACACAGGGGAGAAGAATGTACTCATCTAAAGGGTCAATTCAGTTTGATGTAAACAATAAGGATTTTCTGATTTCACATTTAAATTCAGTTTAAATGCAAACTTAACTTACTTTGTTTTCTCCTTCGATGATGAATTCAAATTATAGCCAAAACAACACCAAGAGATAAGACGATGGCTACAACAATCGGTGTAACATTATTTTGGCTGCCTTTCGATGCTGTAAAGAAAAAAGAAAGCCAGATTAGAAATTCATACTTGGCTGAACTCTTGCAGCATACCTGAGAGTGAACTATAACCACTCAATCTCACAGACCTGATCTGTAGTAAAATATGAAGTTGGTCTAATCAACCCTGAATGGATGCTGCCCTAAAGTCACAATTTAAAACTACATGGAAGGATAGTCACCTCCTGGTTTTAAGGATCACCTTAGACATTTCTGACATTGTATTTTTTTAATAGATTGTTATCTCCTTTGGTGACCTGTTGTTACTGGCATGTAAATGTAACTCTTTACTTTGTCTTGACTTCTTTTAATAAGACTCTAAAGGCTGTGTGACTGAATTGACCATCAGGGATTAATAACACATCTGAATCTCATAAAATCAATTTCATTGTTTTTATCTTTTAAACCATTAATTCTAGCCCATTTATATGTCAAATAATCTCTGCTTCGTTTAATTTTTGTCGGAAAATTAAAACTATTTTGTCTCAAATGATATGGTTCAACTCCAATATATGAATTAGTCAGTTACCTATCTCCTGGGAGATGTTTGTTGAAAATGGCATTATCTTCATAAATTATATAATTCATTTAAATGGAAAAATCTATTCATGTAAAATGTATTGGTAATTATTTGGAATAATTTGAAATAAATACCATCAGTTAGTATTTGTGATTCCTTTGGCTTGGAGGAAAACAATTAAAAGTACTGAAAGAAGATATTGGTCTGTAGACCTGTAAAAAATATATTTGTGGCTTAAAGGGAAAAATGAGAAATAATTTGATGCATAAATTTTTCTTGAAGGGAAAATGATTTACATTATATATCCAACAAATTTCAAACCTATTTGAGGGGATATTTGATACCCCTTTGCCATAGGTGAATACTTTAACTTCTAGATACTAAATCACAATACTTTCAACTTAAAATTCTATACAACATCTTGCCTACAAGAAAAATGCTCTCAGAATGGAGTTTAGGATCCAAACTGTCGCTTCTGTAAATCTGAATCTGAAGACCTGCTGCATCTTTTTTGGTTTTGATCACATGTGGGGATTTTCTGTATGAGTGACACTGAAAATATGTCTAGCTCTTTATTCAGTATCGCTAACAATGAGCCCTCAAACAATAATTATTTGTGAATTAAAAATTGGATGTTCAAGTATTTTAATAAAAGAGATTTATTTTTGAATTGAAAGGGAAAGAACGTTTGACGCTCCTAATGTTCTCTCTTTTTTTAACATTATTTTAGGTAAGAGGGCGTTATCACAGAGAGGGAACAATGAATGACACAAATGAGATGGATCGCACTAGGCCATGTTTAGAAGAATGATGAACATGATGACTGGTTTTGTTTTGTTCGTGTGGTTTTTGTTGATGGTCTGTCATGTGTAAGTATAATGTTTGTATATTGTTTTAATGTTTTACATTAAAAATAAAAATAGTTTTATTGTTTTTAAACCCAATTGATTGACAAGCTAGCACTGATTAGTCTTTAATCATGGCAATGTTTCTGCTGCAGTTATTTCATCAAAATGTATGAAAACATGATCTCCTACCAAACAGCTGAAAACAATGGAGAATATTTCTATCGTTGTTTCATCAAAAGAGAAATAAGTATCTGTATGTTTTTATTCAGGATACAATCCACACTGTTCATTAGCATCAAATTGTAGTTATTAACTCTTACCGTCGGGCTTCACACAAAGATCTTCAATCTTTTGGATGTCCCTTGTAGAGCTGACCTGGTTGCTATGGTTACAGATGACTGAACCGTTCTCCAGGTAGACGTCCAGAGAAGCACCAGGTGTGATGATCTCTGCTCGCTCTCCTCCCTCGTGAGAGCAGGTTTGGTTGTCACATGTGAACGTGCTGTTGATGAGAGAGTCTCAGTGCTGCAGATCACTGTGACGTTAGTGGAGTCTGAGCTGCAGAGTTTCACTGTCAGCTTCACTCCAGACACTGGATCTGCAAGAAGCAAAGCAAGTGTGATGACTTTTTTTAAAACAGGGAACGACTCTGTATCAACATTTTCAAATTAAAGAAACGTACCCAGAACTGTGACGCTGTATTCAGCTACATCTGAGATATTATCAGCAGAAACACGTGCTCTGTAAACTCCACTGTCCCTCTTTTGTACGTTCTTTAACAGTAGAGAGTGATTTTGTGCAGACAATTCTGCTCTAGATTCATAACTTGAAAAAATGATTGGTTCATACCATGAATTAGTTCGCAACATTAGCACTGCCAACAGTCCATGTTAAATCATGTCCGCCTTCAGAACAACAGGTTTCTTCACTTCCAGAAGTAAATCTGTTCCTGTCTGCACAAACAAGGAGTCACTGCAGAGAGAAGAGAAATAAAAATCATGTTTATGATTAAAAAAACACTTCACTGTTTACACTAATCAATATTTCCATGTTAACAATGTATCACTTGTGTAAGATTTAAAAGTGAAGTAAATTCATATATTTAAGTTAATCCATGTATTTAAGTTTAAGTTAAAAATAAGTTAACATTTATGCAGTGAACTATTTACATATTTGAGTTTACAAAGTTAATATTGATATACTTACATGTTTTAATGTTTGCAGTAGCACCTATAACTGTGACCAAATTATATTGAATCTACTTCTGTGTTTGTCATAATGTTTGCCTTGAGTTTAATCATCCTAACCTCTGATTGGCTAATGACGGGACATGTGATGAGTAACGAGGAAGTGTTGTGGTTGTTGTGTAGCAGAACAATGTGGATGACAGTAAAGTGCTGCTGAGAAAGTGATCCATCTCCATCCTTCTGTTTCTCTTAACTAGAGTGATCCATCCACCACGCATCGGACCCTCACGTTACACGGTATACTTATATACTTAAAGTTCTTGACAAACACACCGAAAATGATCACCTGACTGAAGGTTAAAAACACAAACCTAAAACAGGAATGATATAATTTAATATATTTTTTTAATCCTGAAGGGTAAATTCTGGTTTAAACTCTCTTTATTGAGAGAAATCCTACTACTCACACGCAAAGGCCAGATATAAAAACATGCACAAACGGGAGCTATGAACAAAAGAGATGTCAGAGTGGGACTGATACACAGGGAGCACGTCATAGCTCTTCGGGGTTCAGTGCCTTACTTAAGAACAATTTGGCCGTACTCAGAAAGTGACCTGGAACGTCTCCAACAAACAGACAAACTCCCGTACAACCTAGGTCTCTACAGACTGAGCTACTACTGCTGCCCCATTCATGATTCATGATTTGGATTTATACTGTAAATAGGTTGCTGCTTATAATTATTAATAGCTACATGCTACAGTAATATAATAGAGTTGATTTCATTGTGTAAAAAATGTTTCTGCTCATGTTGTAAGATATTCTTAAAAATCGGTGAGTTTTTTGATTAAACATTTTTCTCAACATATCTGGGTAAATGTAACTGAGGTAGAAACAGAAATGAAGATTGTCACTTTCTTTATTTATAGGGCTCACAACAAACAGGACAACTAGAAGTGCAGCTATCGGGTGCACTGCACAATCCCACTCAGGAAAACCACATTTAGTCAGGGTGTCTTTTCCTTCAGAGCATCACATCAGTTGTTTTAATACCACAATATTTAGTTCAGATTTCAACACCATACTCCCCGTCAGCCTCCATTCCAAGCTGGTTGACATACTTCAGGGCTAAACACCTCCATGTGTGCTTGGATCCTGGACTTCCTGTCAAACAGATCCCAGGTGGTCAGAGTGGGCAGACACACCTCCAGCCCCTGCACCCTCAACACTGGAGCACCACAAGGCTGTGTCTTAAGCCCCCTAGTCTTCACCCTATACACACACAACTGTGTGGCCACGAGAAGCTCCGACATCATTGTGAAATTTGCAGATGACACGGCGGTGGTTGGCCACATCAGCACCAGCATCAACATTCACACTCTTCACCATTGCACACTTTACAAACTGACACTCCTTCAAGAAATCTCTAAAAACTCACCTCTTCAACATCGCCTACAACCACTAACAATAACTAAGAACTCTCATCCTCCTTCTTTTACAGTATTTCTTAGTTGTATTGTTTTTCTTCTGTTTTTGTTGTTGACCTTGTTAAGCATCTTTGAGTATTTAGAAAAGTGCTATATAAGTCTCATTTATTATTATTATTATAACTTAACACTTTAATACCCAAATGGTATTGTCTATATCTGTATTTTTCTGATCTAATGAGTGTATGTGAATGGGTTATATTTATTTCTATGATGCCAAAGAACATCTGGGAAAAAGACTGCAGATGAAAATTAGCCTTTCAGCTAACTCTGGTACATTTACATCAGTCTGAATGTTGATTCATGTACACTGTCCCTCTTCACATGAAGAGACAAATAAAAACTTGAGCACAGCAGCAACACATTGTAACAGCGTTTGATCTCCCCAGCCTGAGAACGAGGACAGAGGGAACAGGCCAAAAGAAGTGAACGAGGAAGTCAAAAAGAAACTGTGAAAAAGCTTGATGTGAGTTTCCTGCCTGTTGTTGCACATGTATGCTTGCTCGTTTTCACACACACACACACACACACACACACACACACACACACACACACACACACACACACACACACACACACAGGCTAAGTGACACAATTTCAAGTTCTCTTTTGTCCTCAAGCTTCTTCTTTTTTTACACTTAAAACTTAATTATTTTCAGTAACTGTAAACTGCAGTTCACAAATACAATAGTTTTTTATATTTCTCACTCAGAAATATAAATTCCCATAGCGGGGAACTCCATGACAGTAAGAAAGTCATTTCAAAGGAGTGGAGGATGGACCATTAGATTAACACCTAAAGCCTCGGCTTTGTCAAAACCGTTTGGGCGGTTTGCAATGTGAAGATGGAGGACGCATGCAAAAAAAGAGAAGGTAATAATATGAAAATGACCTCGATGGTTTCTGTACCCTGACCCT